CTGATGGTCGGCTCCCACTTGAGGTCCTGGGTGGTGGTGGTGCCGAGGAACTGGTAGCAGGCTGCAGTTGTGATGGGGGTCTCATTAAGGGTGAGGAGGGGCAGAGGGGCTGTGGCCGGAAATGAGAAAATAAGACAAAACCAAACAATGAAAAACAATCTGAAAAATACTAACGAATATAACCCTTACACAAGAATCATGACAAGTACATTAAAAATAAATGTATTCATAAAATCCTATAAAGAAAATTTCACAATCATTTAATGCAGAGATCAATTAAAACAGCAACAACTGAAGCAGCGTGGTCTCAGGCTGGATAAATAACTACTCACTGCTGGGTCTGTGAGCACTGAAGTGATCCTGTTACCAGATCCATCCAGTCGTTCTTTAAAACTCAACATCAGCTAAATTTAAAGTGCTTTAAATGTGCAAACACCCACCGCTATAACATTTGACTAGCACTTCCCCCTCTAGGTATTCTGAGGAGAATTCTCATTGCATCTTTACATGCAACATGCAGTTTCTGCATGCTGGGTTGCCTATAAGATGACCACAAGGGGGCAGTATATAGCCGTGTGCAAAAACCTTTAAACAAAGCCATTTTTGCGTCCTGGACTGAACAGAAACTAAATTTTGGTGCAACAGTGTTTGCCTGGACATAAAGCTTACAACATTGTCTGTATATCTACATCATCATCATTCATTTGATCATTAATAAAATGACCAAGGGATTTCCCCTTTTTAAAAACTTCACTAAAAGAGTTGAATAATTTTAAGACAATTATCAGGCAGAAGATATAACAGGGCTTGCCATACTGAAGCAGCGAGCAGGCTTCAGACGTCATCGTTAGCCACATAGCATAATTGCCTAAGTCATTTTTTTGGTCAAATTGTGATATCTGCCTAACTCTACTCTCCTGCCACTGCTGCATCATCCTGCCTTTTTTTGCCTATGTCCTCAGCCTATCACAATGCTTGTTACAGTCTAAAATCACTTTCTGCCTTAGTCATCTTTTTGACTTAGGCATTTTTGCCACTATATACAAAGATGGCAAACATCATGGGAAAGAGGGCCCTGCCAACCACAGATGAAGTTTTAGCTCTTCTCTTTGAGTCATCTGGTAAGCCAGTTTACATTTATTCAACTTTGTAGATAATACATGTACTTTCCATCAACCAAAGGGWTTAGGAACTGTGTTTAAACCTTTAATCCCATTTCTGCAACAAGTTATGAAGTAGTGTAAGAGTTAATTTAACACTAGCAAAATGTTACCAAGAATATTTGTGTAATTTCTAGTCCAAGCAAATCTCTTTATTCTCACTGGTGGACAAAGTACTCAACTCTAGTGCTTGAGTAAAAGTATTGATACTCAGCGTCAGATCTACTCAACTACAAGTAAAAGTTACTTCGTCAAAAATCTATTCAAGTTAAAGTACTGAAGTACTTACTTTTGAAAATACTTAAGTATTCAAAAGTACATGGAAGGAGGATAAGGAAGCAAAAAGAGCACAAGTTTAATGAACTTAGCAGAAATAATTTGTATTAGCTACAAAAATATGTATTTAGCTAAAATCTAACTTTAGCTTATAGCAGCTGAACATTAGCTAAAATTTGCACAAGGGAGTAAAAAAGAGCGTAAGCAGAAGAAATTGTGTAAGGTTTTGTAAAGGTTTAGAAATGTTTTTGAAGGACATCAAGGATGCCGAAAATAGCCCCATTCATTTTCAATGGCAAAAAACGTGGCTAAAAAAGTGAAAAAGCTAGAAAAGTATAAATAGCAGAAATATCAAAAGTTATAGCCGGAATGTCCTGAATGAGCTGAACGTTTTAATGTATGAATTGTTGAAATAGCATAAAAATTGTGGATCGAGGAAGAGGCCAAAAAAAATGTACAGAAGAATAACTGGTCTGAATAGTGTGAATGCTGTGAGGTAGCCTGGTAAAAAACAGCCCCTTGTTCTTTGTTTAGCAATGACCGGAACTGCGTATGAAGGCAAGACCCAGGCTAGCTGTAAGATTATAAAATGTTTTTAAAAAGTCACTAAGAGTTTTGTCATTATTTAACTCATTTTTGAAATGTTAAATAAGAATCATTCACAGATAGTAAGGATTTCACACTGATTGTGTGAAACCGTGACTGAGTGTCATTCATTCTCTTCTCCAGCAGGAGGCACTGCTGCAGCGAGACAAACTCTGGTTTTTAATAGAAAATCTGAATAAAAGCAGCAACAGAACAGCTGTAAAACAAAAAGTAGTTCTGATTCAGAGTAAATCCTCTGCCTGCAGTTAATTCAAGTGTAAATAAAAGACTGGGTCCCACTGTATTACTCAGGCTGCACTATAGTGTCTATTCACAGGTGCGATCCCACTACTGAGCGGAACGGGGGCTTTGACCTGCTCCGTTTCCGACCTGGGCCGGTGCACCCCTCCTT